TCAGGATAGGGAACAAAGTGTTTTTCACGGACGAGACGCAGGTACCACCTCGCGCCGTGAGGCTGAGGCTTTGGAGGCGCCTCCGCCGGCGCTGCCCGGGGCCGCTCGAACCGGGAAAGAGCCGTGCGGGAAGCGGCCTCCCTTGTTACCGTGGTAACGAGGAGTCGCCTTGCTCAGCGGAGCGGTGTTGCCGCGCCTTGCCCCGCGGCGAGGAGGGAGCTGCGTGTTCCCCGAGGGCTGAGGTGGCGGAGCCCAGGGTGAAAGGGGAGCCCCGGCTGTGGGGTTTGGGGCTGCGTTTTCCCCCTTGCCGTGTGACAGCGAGCTTGTCAGCTGTGGGCTGAGGCTTGTGACTGGCAAAAACAGCAAGTCGTGTAGCTTCGCAGGCCTGTCACAGCCCTGCTTGTCAAGGGGAAGGTCTTGGTAGGAAACCTTAATGCGTCTGTAGTTGTCTCTCTTCAGTACTCGAGAGGTAACTACACTCAGCTTACGGGCTGAGGGGTGCTTTTTACTATGCAAAGTGCAGCTTTGTAAGCACAGCTATGGCAATAGGAGCACTTGGCTAGGAGAACTTGATAGTATTTCCATATTTGTAACACACTTTTACCACATATAAGGCTTTAGTCTAAAAATAAATGCCGTGTTTGTGCACTTACGATTGGTGCTGGACATTTAAACCGGAGCCGAATCTGTAATGGAGTCCGGATTGAGCCTTCGGTTACAGACAACTGCTGTTCCCGATACAGAACGTTGTTTCAAGTGAGGAAAATGACGTGAAAACCACCATCCGTGAAAAATCACGTCTACTTTTTTTCCCAAATGGCCGGGGAGAGAGGAGAGTAGGGTGAGGCTGTGGTAGCCCACGACAGTGGAAAAACACTGTGCATGAACCACGTTTCACTTGCCATCACATGAAGTAAAACTGAAAGTAAGCTTGCTTCTGACTTTCGGGTTTAGAAGCAGAGCTCCTGCCGCACTTCCCACAAATCATGTGAGTAGTTTAATGTTGGATTTGTCTAGTTTTGTTACTAAATAACAGAATTTGTGCGGACAGAAGTCTTCTTGATCTTTCTTTTTTGCTGTGGTTTATATGTGTGTTTGTGGAAATTATTTCAGTGGTGAGCCATTTTACTTAAATGCGTGTAACTGAAATGTATTTATGAAGCATGTTGGCTAAGTGCTACTCTTCAAGAAGCAGAGAAGCTCTTCATAAATTCAATGGGTAAAGAGGATGTTTTCAGTGCAGTGAAAACAAGATCACAAGTGCTTATGGAGTTGGTTCAAAAACAGTGGTTTTGCTATCTAATGAGCAGATTATTTCATACTTCAGAGTGATGGTGACAATCTCAGCATCTCTCACATTAAATAGTTAATTCACATTTTGATAAAGCTCGTTGTCCTGATTTCAGCTGGGATAGAGTTAATTTTCTTCCTGGTAGTTCGTACAGTGCCGTGTACCAAAACATCAGTGTGTTATGATTATTCTCACATTAAATCCAGAACACAGCACTGAACCAGCTACTAGGAAGAAAATTAACTCTATCCCAGCTGAAACCAGGACGCTCGTAAAACCAATGCCAAATAATTGTCCATGTGTTTTAGAGGGGTTTTGCGTTAATTGCCCTGGATTCTTGTTTTGTAAATCAAGTTTCAACTAATTTATGCTGTTCTTTACTCCAATTCTACTCATTTCTGAAATACCTTCTCCTTGGTCCTTGCACAGTAAGCACATTTTTTTTCTGTCTGCAATGTTGTTCATGCAGACTGACTTCATAAGCTTGTCAGTTTATTTGTGTTCACTGGGAGTTGGGAAGCCCTCTAGGGAACTGCAGCTTGGCTTGAATTTTGGTGTAAAGTCAAAGTTGTTATTGAACATGTAGTTGCCTTTTAAATCCATGTACTGAAATTTACCAGTTGCATTTGTCTCTGAGAAACTCTGTAGAATATGCCTGCCATGCTGCACCTTGGTGGTGTGGTGTATAAAGGTTAGCTGCATAAAAGGTAGAGACAGCATCATGGTGGAGCTTTCTAACATCATCTGTGAACACTGTGAAGAGAAAAAGGTTAAGTAGCATGCTTTTTTTGGCTGCTAGGTAGCTATCTAAGTTACTTTGCTTTCTGAGTAGGTATAACAACCTTTTCACTGTTATTGGTGACTGACTTACAATTTATGGCTTGCTGGTATCTTATCTTAAAGTTTTTTGTTTAATCTTTAATCAAATTTGCTACCTAAGATAATATAAAGCTTCAGTCGTTCAGTCCACTTTCCTGTTGAAGGTAGCAATGTTCACTCTTACAGCTTCTGTGCTCCATAAAGCTGGTTGGATTGGCAAACTATCCCCCTAGACTTAATACTGTGCAGTTTCATTTTAGATGTGGGTGATGTTCACATTTCGTGTGCTATAGGGAAATTCTCCTCTTTCCACATAAAATTACTGAGGATGTGCAAAGCATGTGTTTCTAGTATAGTAGTAGCAAAATACCTATTTCTTATGCTTGCCATTTTTAAATTTGCCAGAAAAATTAAGTTCAATGCAATATCTGCATAAAAGTTGATGTCATATAGTATGGGAACAGATTATGTATTGAGAAGTTTTGAGATTCTTAAACCTGTTCTTTGGTCTGCTGATTACAGCTTTTGAGCTTTATTTGCTCCTTTGTGAGGATGAGAGAGAGAACATTTTTATAATTTAATGAAGGAAATGTTTGTCCAGTGGTCTGACGAGGGGATAGACTACCTTATGGGCAAATTTATTTTGAGTGAGTTATTTCTTTGAAGTTACAGTTACATACCGAATGTGTAATTTTGGTGCAAATGCGCAGGGACTTTGTATATACCCTCTCTTTTTATTTCAATTATATTTTTTTTAGAGTTTTTCAAATCCCTTTTTATAGAATTAGTCCTGAGGCTGTATATGTCCACAAAACAGAACTGTCTTTCTATAATTGGCTTTACAAAGTCCTGAAACTTTGTAAATTAGGTCTAAAAATCAGAGCTGTGTAGTATATAGTTCTTGAGTCACTTGTGGCTCACAGTGGGACTGTATGTTTCCTGGAGGGTTGTTAACCCAGGTGGAATGAATGCCATCTGGACTACTGTCCAGTTAGAGGAGCTGTAGTGTCTCTCCAGGCAGGTTGTATCTTGTGACTGCTTTCTCACTCCCTGCCAAGGAGCAGACAGTGCCCTTCAGCCACCAGAAGTGAGGTAGAAGGGCTACGGGTTTGTGTAGTTGGGGATGAAGAGAGAAAGAAGGAAGCAAGAGGCAGGGTGAACTGCTGTGTAAATGAAAGAGGAGGATTGGGTTGAATGAGGGATGCTGCTGGTGGCAAATGGCCCACAAAAGTCACAGCACCAATGGTACAGTGGTCCTGTGGCCCACTCACTTTTGCACGCTTGTAAAGCTGAAAGCTGGAGTCTCAATTAGCTTAGAAGCTTAGGTTGTCACTTTCAGTTTAACTTCTGATATGTTCCTACTTAATCATTCAGACTTTTATCCCTTTTTTTTTTTTTTCTCCTCACAGGGAATGTGAAATGTTTCATGTAAGGCTGAAGGGTCAGATTTGAATTTAGGCTGGGCATAATTTAAAAATAATTTAAAATGAATTGTTAAATCAAATGCTTGCTATACGGACTTATTTTTCTTTCCTTTTTTTTTTTTTCTTTTTTTTTTTTCCCAGTTCCTTGATGACTTGAACAGGTGGAGTCTACTTCTCATTTCTCCTTTTATTTGTCCTGATAAGTTACTTAAAGCAGGACATATAGCTTTTGTGACAGAAAGCATTTCAGCTCAGACAGATAACTTGCAGAAAGTACCTGGCTCTTCGAAAGAGGTAAATAGTTCTCTTTATTTCTTGCATAGAAAGTAGTACAGATGGGTCATTTGGTTGGTATAAATCTAGAACAATTGAAGGTTAAAAAGAAAATCAATGGCAGATAGATTTTGTATGTTTGTATGTTATTGGAAATAAAAAGGTAATATTTTCATTAAAATTAATCACTTTTAATCCTCTACATTTTATGCTTTTTTAGTAGCACATTTCTCTGGCTGTGGATGGGAACTGTAGAATTCCACTGTGACTTTGGGTAAGGCATGTAGGGTTAGATACACTGAACAGAAAGAAAGATGCTTGAGAGCTGTTGTACTAAGGCAGATCAGAAGTCCATTTATATGAGTATCCTGTCTCTGACACTAGCTGAAACAAATGTCTCAAGTAAGAAGCAAGCATATGTTACAATTTCTGAAGAGCTCTTAAAGCCTTCAACAAGTGATGGTGAAAAGTGATAAGTCAAATAGAAGTCTCTCTTGGAACCTTTCTTTCATTGTGATTTATAAATACAAGTTTAAGTATTACACATTTGGGTTATTTCATCAGTCTGTAAAAGTAAGGCCAAAATCAAGCTTTCAATGTTTTAGCTTTTCTATAAAATGCAGTGGGGGAATGGCAATACTTCTTGGTTGGAATTTTGTAAATTGTGTTTGCCTTTTAATGGATAATACTTACAAAATGATTTTGAGATGTCCAAATTTATAATGTAAACTAGTACTGAAATCCTTATGAGAAGCATATTATAAAACATTCATGTCCTGGATGTTCGAAAAATCTAAAAAATGCCTTCTCCACTGCTATATTGAAAGTGTGAAAATGTGGATTTAGAAGATGATGTTCTAAAACTTGAATTACTGAATATATAATATCTCTAAACCAATTAAGCATGAGAATAGTATCCAGACCCTAGCAGAAGTTGCTATGAACGTGAGATAATGTGTCTCTCTCCCCTACATTTTACTGGTTTTCTTACTGGTTTTTTCCTCATATGAGGAATGCTTGCTGCCTAGGTGTCTCAGCCTCGATGCAGGTCTGAAGGAGGAGAAAGGTTGTAACCCAAAGCAAAAGATAAAATTACCTTCCAGGGTGGAAAAATCTTCCAGTGGTACAGGTTGGCCTAATTCCTTCCTACGGCAGTCACTTGTGTGTGCTGTGCATTCTCCTTAGTGAAGAGGGCAGAATGGACCCCGTTGCCTACTGAAAAGAGGAGAGATGGAAAGACGTGTATAGTAGGATATTTCTGGGTGGGCAGTAATAAAACATTTGGCCTGATCTCTAGAGTACCATAAAATCCATGGAGCCCACACGTTAAATGGGCTTTGCCACTAGCTGGGACCACCACATGGGGCCAATCCATAAGGTGTCTTCCGCAATGGCCCCTGCTTAGCATCCTAAAGGGCCTCTGCCATCCTTGCTTTCTGACATCAGGTTTCAGGCTCCTTCTTGGAGTTAAAGGAAACTTGTCACATACACAGGTGCTTGCTGCCTGTTTCCCTGGATGAGGAATATGTATTTCCCATCTCACTTGTTCTGCGAGATAATCCAGGAGTCCTCTGCTGCAGTGAACATCAAGAGCAGAGTGGTTGGTAAATAGACTTATCTAACTTGAGCGCAGGAACATAAGGACAGATTGGGAATGGGCACAGTGCCTGGAATCAAATGTTTAATTACCTTCACCCACCATGGGCTCAGTTCTGGCCTCTCAGTTCTAGAACAGAGCACGTTTTTGGAGCATGTTAGACTTTGGCCTCTAGAGGAATGATTATCATATCTAGAGGAATTATTAGCAAAATCATTAGCTCTATGAAGTTCAGAGTGTCAGGACTGGAGGCACTGGAAGCTTTTTGAGAACTCTGAGACCTTTTCTGCTGAAGTGTTCTGACTGTGCTTCCACTGGCTTCATAGTTTCTTCGAGCACACAGGAAGTAGCCACATTAGCTGGTTTGTAAATGTTTTTATTGCCTTTGATACAAGACTGTGGAATCCATCTGGGTGGGCCCTGCTGCTGAGAGACAAATTAAATAGGTTATCTGCTGTGCTCTATATATTGTTTCAGAATGCACCTGGGGCACGCTGGACCAACTCAGAAGAATAAGGGAGGGTTGTTTTAGTTTTTTGGGAGGGAGTTGTTTGTATTTTTTGTTGTTGTTTTTTGGTTTTATGTGTGTGTTTGGGGTTTTTTACTTTTTTGTTGTTTTTTGTTGAAGTTTTGTTTGGGGTTTTGTTTTTGGGGGAAGGACTTGTTTTTGTTTGTTTGTTTGTTTTTTGTAGCAGAGAGGTCCACAAAAACATCTGTGTTGAAGCTCTAGTTTGTTCTTTCAGGGTTTTTTCTTTGGTGGACTTGTTAAATCTTGTTGGTTTTGTTTGCATTTTCTTTAGCATATAAAATGTTTGCATTCCTATGTAGATATAAATAATTAATTTATCAAGCTCAAAAATGATAATCCAGGCAAGAGACCAAACCTGAAGAGGAAAAGGACTGTCGTTCTTTTTTCGTTTGTTCTTCCTCTGTGTACACATCACCTCTAGTGAGGTGCTCTGAATTCTGCTACCTCTGGCCATCAACATAGGTAGTGGCTGTAAGAACAAGTTCCTCCTGTGACCAGGAGAATTTCGAAATAGAAGGCCCTGCAAAGAATAGCTCGTCAGTGACCTGTGACTGGTTTCAACTGTGGTTGAGTATAAATAATTTCTCATCTCTTGCTAAGAGCTGTCCTTTCATTCTGTATTCTGAGAGAATTTTGATGATTTCTAGTCATAGCGGGAAAGCTTGGCCTGTTTCAAAATATTCTCTGAGGATTTTTGTTCTGTTGTGAAGCAAACAGATCATTGCATGAGTGGGATTACAGGTCATATGTCTTGGCAAAAGCCTTACTTTGTGAGGTTCTTCTGTGTATTCACTTTGCTTGTACTGCACAGCAGTAACTACTTGTTGTGGCTTAACCCCACTTGTCAACAAAGTACCTTGCAGTTGCTCCGTCGCTGTCACTCCCCCATGCTCCCCCCAGCAGGATGGGGAGGAGAATTGGGGAAAAAGATAAAACCCATGGAATGAGATAAGAAGTTTAATAATTGAAATAAAATAAGATATAACAAGAATTATAATTAAAAGAGACAACAAAAAGAGAGAGAGGAGTAAAACCCAAGACAGGCAAGTGATGCACAGCACACTTGCTTATTTGCTGATCAGTACACAGCCCAACCCAAGCAGTGATTGGCTTCTCCCAGCCAACTCCCTCCAGTTTCTATACTGAGCATGACATTCTATGGTATGGAATATCCCTTTGGCTAGCTTGGGTCAGCTGTCCTGGCCATATTTCTTCTTGGTTTCTTGTGCCCATCTTCACTGGTGGAGCATGAGAAGCTGAAAAGTCTTTGACTTAGAGTAAGCACTGCTTAACACATTTATGTTTTAATTGTTTCCATGAACATTATTCTAAATACAAAACCCATGACACTATACCAGCCACTAGGAAGAAGATTAACTCCATCCTAGCTGAAACCAGGACACTGCTTTTCACTTGTTAGCCTGACTAATATTTTACTTGGTGCCATGAAAAAATCCCTTGCCCTCCACCACAGAATGTAGCTCAGAGTTATATGCTGAGGAAAATGGAGAAGGAAGCTGGGAATACCTTCCATCTGGAAAGTGATGGTGTTGTCCAGGTCAACACTCAAGGCAACTGGCTAGGGCAATTCTGGCTGGCTTGGTCAGACTTCTCCAGTGACAGTGGGGTGAAGTCTTGAGTGATGCTGCAACTACAGTGATTCATATCTATCGGAGTTTGGTATAACTATCTTCCAGAAGGAGAATTTGTTCTGCTTCAGAAATGGAGAATACTACTGTGCCCAGAAATACATCCTGTAACTTCAGAGCTGATATTTTTTTGTCCTTATAAAAAGGATGTGGAGATGACCTTTTTACTTTTACTAGTTAGTGGTTGTTACCACTGAGTGATCCAGACATTCAGGACCTGAGTGATACATCTGTCATGGATGTGAGGGCTGGCTCTCACCAACTGTGTGTTCTGGCATGTCTGATTGGAAGCTGTTAATTGCTCTTGTGTTACAGAGTTGTAGTCTAACCCATAAGTTAAAGCATGCAGCTGACCTTGTGGTAAACACAAACACACTGCCCATGCACTGTTATCTTTTTCTCTTTTTGAAAATGAGTTTGTTCACTAAGGGTTAGTATAGGTAATGTATCAGAAGATACCCAGCCAGATTTCTTGTGAGGTATCCAGAGGACACATGTATGAGTATAGACTGGATGGTCTTATTTGGACTGTGCTAATCAGAGACTGTCTTCAGGAATGGCTTAGAAAGGAATTGCGGCTGTTAAGGTTATATGAAATCTTTTTCTTCTTGTTCCCTTGGGAAATACTGTAAAGTCAAAAGTTGGAAATAGATTCTTTTGGATGTTATGTAAACCACTTAATGGCAGTAGATAAAAGGGCAAATTTAGCTGATAGTCTAATTCTGAACAACTAAAATACCCAAGAGCTCATCCTCGTTTTGTGCGTTCAAAAGAAGCATTTTTTTCTTACTGTGTTTAATCAGTGTTCCATCCTGTATGTAGTGATGAAAGGGTGAACTTCATGAAGAAGTGCTTTGGTGATGACAGCATCGAAGTGCTGGAGTTGCTATGTGGGAATTGAGCTTTGTCTCCTAGTATTGGAACATATTACATGGCAAAGGCTAATTTTTTTAAGGTTGTGAAAGCAGGTGGTGTCTCTTTATTGTCTCCTTCCCAGGAGAACATTTGGTTTATGTATCCTATAAAGGATAAAGACTGTGGTATCATTCGCAATTTTTACCGAAATTGAGGCCTTACTCAGTTTTTTGTTTTCAGAATTGACACAAATCACTGTGTTTGTAAATTATCTGAATATTGTTTTGTTCGGTAGTGTTGTTTTATAAACATGAGGTTTAAAAGGGGTCACTTTCAGTTATGAGTCTGCCCACAGATTTGTTATCTTTATTGATGTGTCTGCATTTCAGAAGGAAGACAAAACTCTTTTCGCTTTTCTTCCACTTTTGTCTTTTATAGCTGAACTTGTTCTCAAAGACAGTACAGCTGTGTAATTTGGGCTTAACAAACCTTCTTGAAGAAAATAATCTCAAGTATGTGATCTTCACAATGCTTTTTTCCTGGAGAATAGAATTTTTTTGAATGTTCTGTGTTTAGTTATGCTTCTGATAGTCAATGTGTACTTTTATTAAACCCTAGTAGTTTACTTTTGCTCTTTTTATCAGCATTCTTTTTAGTATTTGTGCTGAAAGCCATGTCTTGGAAATAAATGAAAACAGAATTATACTTACAGAACAGGGTAATGCTCCCCTGCCGTTTTGTGTATTACTTGAAGCTTTTATAGACTTGATCTTTGGGAAAGATGTATTTTTACTTCCACTTTGCTATCAACTTGGTGTTGCTTTGTTTACTTCTCTCAGGACTTGTAGCAGGTATTGCTTTCTACATGACCCTTCCTCAGTAGGTTCTTTTGGTTATATTCAGTCTCACATTGACCTTTGTAGTCATGAATGGTGCACTTTCGCACGAGAGGAACTGTCAACTGAAAGCCTTCTCTACTTGCAATGTGTTGTCTCATGATACTGTTAAACACGCTAGTTGATTTAAACACCTCAGGCATCACAGAAAAAAAAGTCTTAAAAGTTATTCTGCCAATTTAGTATTCTATAATCCTAGTAGCTATACTTTTTTTTTAAAGTACTTTCTTTACAATTACTTCCAGTCCTTGGGATTGCCAGTTGTACTGCTTTGGTTTGATAATGTCCCTCTCTTGGCTCTGCCTACTGTTGTGCTGCTTTTAAATAGCCAAATCCTTTGGGAAGGAAGGGCAGTTTTTATTTGCAGTTCATCTTGCAGACTCATAATGCTGTTGGTATTTTGATATTTTTCTGTAACCTTTTCAAATTGAAAAACATGCATATGCTTTATTCTAGATTGTGAAGTGGTCAGACTATTGTTCACCATTGGCCTATAAACCTGGTGAGCCTTACAAGTTAATTGCTGAAGCAAGCATAGATAATTTCAGTAACCTTGGAATAGCATTCATGGAAGACAGGCTTCAAATGGATAATGGAATGGTGCCACACAAGATTGTTTGTAAGTATCTTAATGAGATGTTTTTAATGGTAGAACATGTTTGTTTTAAGACTGTGCATATAGTCTTTGTACCATGCTTTTATTTTGGTACAATGTTTGGTTCCTGTTGTCATTTTGGGCTGTTGATCACTCTGTAGCACTGCTGTATTTTAAACTGAATACTGTCAAATATAGAGATCCTTGAAAAGTTAGACCGCTTTTTGAGTGAGTTGGTTTCTTTACAGATCTTTACATCTTTACAAATGCAACAACAAAAATAACAGAGAAATGGATCAAAACATTTTTGCAATAAACCCCCCTCTTTAACGCTGCGTAAGCTACTGCCAATAGTTAACTGCAGCATTATGAGATCTTTGTTTCATTCACCAGCAGTCTCATTTTTCCTTCCTAGTTGTATCTTCTCAGTTGTGTTGATAAAACTTTGGGTCATGTAGAATAATAAAATAATGATTTTGGCTACAAAAAGAAACTTCTTCTCTGTCCCCAGACTCCCCGAAAAAGGGCAAGGGGGTAGTAGGTTGGTTTGGGGTTTTTTTGTTGGTTGGTTGGTTTGGGTGTTTTTTTGGTTTTGTCTTGGTTTTGGTTTTGGGTGTTGGTTTTTTGGGTTTTTTTTGGTTGGTTTCTGTTTTGTTTTTTATTTTTTGATGTAGATCGTAGTGCATTGGCAGAAGTCAGGGAATGCCAAAATCGAGAACAGCTAGACAGTGTGCAAGAGGGTGGAAATATGCTCACAAATATACGTGGTGTGAAATTTAGTCTGTTGGTGCTGTTCTGCAAAAACATTCATGCAGGAGCAGATGGAAGCTGAGTGTCCCAGTCATTTAATTTTCAGAATGCTTTCTGGCTCATTTTGCCTCAGGTGCTGTGTGCGTGCTAGGAACTGCTCCATTAGAACAGGCTTATGCAGGCTGGGTTGATGGAATAGGATATAGGCTGACGGCTATGAAATTCTCCTGGGCTGTGAAAAAAATTCTTGCTTCACATTTCTGCTCCAAACTAGGCAAAGGGGATATAGTTTCAAGGGAATGCAGGTGTTGTTAAGTGAAGAAAGTGATTAAACTTGGATCTGGTGTTGTGTGTCAGTTGACTGTTTTGTTAATGAAGTTTCTTGCTGAATTTTTTTGAGAAATCAGAAACAAACCCATAGTAAGTTTCTTTGGCTTTATGGGAGTGGAGAGAAAGTCAGTAAGATTTTGCAGACTTTTATTTGAAATATTTTCATGGCTCAGCAGCTGAAAAAAATTACCTTGTGAAAAGTATTTTTTTTTCTTCTCTCCTCTTATTTAGTTTGCTTTGCAAGTTTCACACTGGTAATAATCATCTTTGGCCTTCTTTTCTCACTTCTATTGCTAGAAGTTTTTTATTTTTGCATTTCCATCCTTTTCTGGGGGGAGAAAGAGGAAGGTCTAACAGTTCTTCCTATTTGCTGGTTTTCCCTTGGATTCTCCGCTCCCAAGTCTTGCTATGGTGGGTATGGTATGTCTCCCTTTCTGCACACTGAAAGCTGTTCAGATTTTTTTCATTCCCTTTAACTTGTGCCAAGCTTTTATCTGCAGCCTTCAGCAATGCAAGAGTCATAGTTCAATATCTTCATCTTACCCAATATCATCACTTTATTAGCCTATTTCAAAATAGTTCATTTGAAAATAACAGCAAGCAATTTTTGCACCCTGCCCTCTTTAAGAGATCAGTATTTTTTCCAGAGGTTCTTTCCTTGCTTCGTTTTCCTTTGCTGGGGACAGAGGCACAGGCAAAATAACAAGCTGATAAGTTGATGCATTTCTGGGAACTTCCTCACCTTACCACCCATAGACTATCATTCTGTTAACAGCACATCTGCATTGTGTACAGTACTGGTCATGTTTACCTTTTGTGCAAATATTTTTTGCACTTACAATAAATGTTACTTTGTTTAAATGTGCCCTGTAAGTATCTAGTATTGTGCTCTCAGTCAGACTTTCCTGGAACAAAGAGTCATTAGAGTAAATGACTTGTGTTATGAGTGCAAATTTATTATGTTCTTGGGGGAGAGGGTTAGAATTTGGTGTGTCAAATTCTTGCTGTTATAGGTGATTTGTACTGAAATTAAATATAGATCTTGCCATGGTAGTGATATTCATCATAGCTCTTTTAATATCACTTTTATAACCTGTTTTTCTTATTATTTAACTCTTCCAGCTGTCCATTTACAGGAATCTACTCTGAAGGAGTTGGCAGAGGTAGAACCATCTGTAGAAGAGCAAAGTGTAAGCAGTACACAAATGGATGAAGTAACTCCTGCTGCTACTTTTGGGACTACTCTTAAATCAGGATTAGGAGTAGTGGAGACTACAGGACAAGATGAAGAGGAGAAATCCAAGCTGGAGAAAGAGAGTGAGTCTGAAGATGAATCTAACAGTTTATCTGACAAAGAGATAGATGCTGGAGAACATCATCACTTGCATCTTTCCAGCTGTCATGAATGCCTGCAACTTGAAAACAGTACTATTGAATCAGTCAGATATGCCTCTGCAGAAGACATTCCAGAACTTTCTGATGATTGCAGTAGCACACGGGAAGAGAATGATGGTTGTCTAGCAAGAGGAATTAAGAGAGTAAACCTTTCTGGAAAGCCCCCTAATATATTGATTTATCTTGGCTCTAAAACTGCAAAAGTGGAGTTTGAGCAGGTAAAATCAGTCCTTCAGGAATGCATTGATGTAGACAGCTACACCATCTACCATCTGCATGAGGAACAAGTTCTGAAAGCTCCGTGGGTTGATAATTCAGTGCTGTTGATTATTGCCACAGATGAGCCTATTTCTGAGGAGAACCACAAACAATTTATGAAGTTTTTATCTAAAGGTGGAAAGATTCTAGGGTTTTCTTCATCTTTCACATTTGATGGCATACAAATAAAAAACAAACTGAAGAAGGCTGTTCATGAATTAGTGGTCTCTAAAATGGACAGCACTGAAATTAAGTTAAATCTCTTGGTCAGTGGCTGTATTTTTGAGGAAGTGATGAAAGAAGATACAAGCAAAGTGAAGATACTGAGTCGATTAAATAATGCTGATAAAGATACAGTTATTGTTCATCTATCTTATGGAGACAGTGGAGGAGAAGCCATTCTTTCTCAGGTACTGTGCATACAGAAGCATTAATTTGCTAAAAAAGTTCCCTTGTTCCCATTGCAAGCTCTTGGGGTTGCCTGTCAAGGGCAGGTGTAGATGGATGTCTCAGTGGATGTACAAGGACTCTGCAGAATGTCTTTCACTTGATCTTCAGGAAGCTTAAAGAATGGTAGAGATTTGTCACTGCTGTTTCACTTCCTTCTTTCCACCATGCAGCTGTGCCCATCTAGATCATGCAAGACCACAGTGGGTGGTAGAGAGCAGATTTGCACAGTTAGCAAGCATCTTCAAGCGCAGAGCTATCTTCTGCCTGCTAGAAGTTGTGCAGTGATACAGCTGTGCATATTGCAGATTTTGGGAGGTGGGAAGAGGAAGAGCTGAGTTGGTGGTGGACTTGGGTGAAAGCTTATACTGGCAAGATAAAAGAGAGACATGCTTATGAGAATATGAACTATGGTGAAGCAGAGAGTCAGGAGAGGATGTAAAATAAACCTTGCAAGAAACTTGAAAGATGTCTTTTTTTAAGGTTTAAGGTTATGGTAGCCAGCACTTCTGGAAATCTGACTAGTGAATGAGAAAGTCCCAGCCTTTATTACTCATTGCATGCCATGTCTAGAAAAACTGCTGTCCAATTCTTGCTTGAGCAAGTAACTACACAACAAAGGTTAGTCTCTGACTTCACTGAAACGCCATTGTTGATCTAGGTCTGTTGGTCCTCCTCTTGCTGTAGCATTGCTACCGTTTTCTCAGGTGTATTCTGTTTGCATCTCAGTGTTGTGAATAAAGTGAACCAAGCAATTGGTTTCTTTAGCAGCACTTTGATTAAGGCTAGTTTTTAGATGGATGTTAGGTTCATGATGTTGGCCTTGCTGTTCTGTCATTAAAAAAAACCCAACCCTGTATTCAACTGGAATGTAATTTTTCTATTTATTATCAAAGTTAAAATTCTAAAACTTGGGGTTTTTTTGTAAATCTCAACACCTTTTCTGTCAGTAATATATGCTCTTTTTTTGGGGAGGGTTGTGGGGAGAATTTGGTCTTCTGTAATCCTGCTTTTTTGTTTTCTGAGTCTTCCTTCAAGCTTTAAACTTTTCAGTGTTTAACGTCCTACACCTAACAAATAGTTCAGAGCACCCGGGGGACGGAAGTGGGGGAGTCTAGAATGAGCCAAAATGTTATTCATTCCACTTCATAATAATAATATCCCAGCAAATAGGTACCTCTCCAATGTTGTGGTATTGTGATCTCTGTTAGTAAAACCCCAAACAAAACCAACATCCCCTCAAAAAGTTAAACAACAGATTAAGTTCAAGTGTTCAGAATCTTTTTTGTTGTTGTTACTCTCTGTCTTCTTGGATAATGGGTGAGAAAATTCCATGGATGTGTAAAAGGTAAATGCTGGTCACTGATTATATAAACAGTCACAGATACCTGGCTAATGTTTTGAGTGATAGGAAAACTGATAAGAGGTACCATTAAGTTTAGAAAAGAACTCTATGCTCTATAGTATGTTTCTGCCTGGGTGTATAACCTGTGCTATTAAACTTGGAGAGATTTCAACCATTTCATAGTAAAACTTTTGAAGTCAGCCTGAAGGCATCTTGCACGTTTTGAGCTGGCCTCAGTAGGAGCAGAGGTAAACGTTTTCTTTTTAGCATGGCTGTTCACAATTATATCACTTCCTTTACTGTGTCTTTACTCTGTCTCAGCACACTGAGAAAAGCAGAGCAATTACCAGTGTTTAAGTAGATGAGGAATATCATGGAGACACAGCTGAACAAGCTTTATGGAAGATTCTAGGACCTTTTTTTTACCACTATTTTAGTTACAGGAGAACTTTCTCAGGAGCCCATAACACTCAAATTTAACTGCTCACGTATCAGGTAGCACACGCTCTTCTAGCAATTACGTAATGTAGAAATATTCATCGGGTTTCTTAGAAGTGTTTTTGTCTGTTTATCAGATTAAATCTGCTAGCTTTTTGGAAACTCTGTCATACATAGTAGCATGTTTATAGGTTTATGTAGGAAGCTTTGCCACCCATGTGCTGTGTGCTTGTACTAGAAAATTGATTAGCTACTGTTGCTATCCGTTTCTGCAAGTTCCATGGTGAAACCTGCTTTGCTGTACCGTTTAAATTGATCCTTCTGCTGCAGTAAAACTTAATACTTCAGAGGTTTTCTGCAGAAAAACGGCATTACAGTATAGCTTCAAAAATCAGATTAAAAGGATTAGTGTGTCATTTTATAATTTTAAATGACTTCCAGTCTGGATTTGAAAAGCCTTATTGTTTTCTCTTCAGGGGACTGACAGTGACATCAGCCATTAAATATTCTGTCACAGATGATTTGTTTCCCTGTTTTCTGTTCTTCTCTGTCCCCCCATTTTGGCATATTTCCCTGAATTTCAATAAAGTAGATCAAAGATGAAGAACACGAGTAAACTGTGCAAAATTGGAGAAATTAACAAAGATAATAGCTTGTCATTTTCATTAATATGCATATAGTAGGGTACAAAGGCTTCTAAATATTACAGAATGGTTGAGGCTGGAAGGGACCACTGGAGATCATCTAGTCCAATCTCTCTGTTCAAACAGGGTCACCCAGAGCACGTTACTCAGGGTTGTGTCCACATGGCTCTTGAATATCTCCAGGGAAGGAGACTCCACAACCTCTTTGGGTATCCTATTCCAGTGCTCAGTCACCCTCATAATAAAGTTGTTCTTCCTCATGTTCAGGTGGAACATCCTGTGTTTGAGTTTGTGCTCGTTGCCTTTTGTCCTATTGCTTGGCACCACCAAGAAGAGCCCCATCCTCTTGACACCTTCCCTTCAGTTACTTATACACGTTGATCAGATTCACCCTTCGCCTTCTCTAGGCTGAACAGGCCCAGCTCCATCAGCCTTTCCACTAGTATCTCTGGATAGTGCAGTAGCCACAGGCAGGACAAAGCTGCTTTTGAAAATGTTACACTTACCTCTCTCAGACACTAAAACGTGTAATACCAGCAGCGTTTTTATGTTTTGTTTTTTTTTATTCCGTCTGCACATGTCCTGCCAGGCATACTTGGAACTGGATATCAATTCTATGGATGTCCAAACCGAAGAGGATTTTAATTTGCTTAAGATAAGCAATACCAAGAGATACGAAGTTCTGAAGGAGATCCTGATATCACTTGGACTGAATTGTGAATTAAGTAAAATTCCTATGTTGACACCTATTTACCTTCTCTCTTCTGATGAGGTAAGGCTTCTGCTTACATTTCGGTTATTTGAGATTTACTCTATAAGACAAATTCAGTGTTCGCTTAAGTACGCCTTGTTTCTTATGTGATATATTTACATATGTACTACAGGTAAGCAAAAAGTTTAATTTCTACTCTGTCAGTATTTTGTTACCTGCTAGTAGTAGTTTTGAATTTGACCATGGGAATATTGTGCAGTTAACTTACCAGATATATTTGCTGTATTTCTGTTAAGACCTTTTATGCTTATTTCCATGCTTCTCCAGTATCAAAACATAAGGCTGTGGTAAGCTACAAGAAAGAACTTATTCAAAAGACAAGATTTGGTTTTCTTTTAAAATGAGGTAGAAAGTTCTGTATAGGCTGGCAACAAAAGGTCAAACCAGATTATGGAGAGTGGTGTGCTAGACCAAACCTGAAAGAGCTGAATGAGTAGGGAAGAGTGTGTGTGTAAGAGCTTTATTCCTGAGGATGTTGTAATGTTTCCTGGAAATAGAATAGGTTCTTATAATTCAAATAGTCACCTGACTATTCTGGACTTCTCAATTTGAGACGTTCTCTCGAGGAACTGTGAAGAACATATAAAGCAGTAATCTTAACTTTTTTTTTTTAAGCATGACTTCAAGTACATGAGGACTGCATTATATTGATCTGAAGGGGTGAAAGCACTAGGTTATTAAAAAGCAGCGCAGTCTACTCAGGCTCTTTGCCATTGTTGTTTCCAACCCATATAGCACTGTCAATACTTGCTCTTAGCACACTTGTCTGATTTCTGCTCCCTTTCTGTACCACTCTTACATTAGCACAGAAATACTGATGTCTGTCTTTAGGGGAATTCAACTATAGAAGCTCCTCCTTGGGTGCCTGTTTCCAGCAGTATCAAATACCACATCCTTTTTTGTCTACAGGATTAGTCAATGAACGTGTTGTCATGTAAGTGACATATTACAGCTGAAATGTTTTTTAAATAAATGGTGATTGTTTAGATTTAGATTGTACTTTTCAAAACACTGTTTGTTCGTCTGAAAGGTGATTATTTTGCATTGCACAATTTATAGATTGGGAATATGTGATTTTTATAAGTTTTTAATAGTCAAAGGATCTAGTTTTGAGTGATCACTCAGTAAATGTTGCTTTGGGGTCCTTAATGGGTGTGCAAGGACAGAAACAATACAAAGTTTTTCTTTACTGTGGAGAGGAGGAGGATGTGTGGAACAGGTTGCCCAGAGAACCTGTGGCTGCCCCATCCCTGGAAGTGGTCAAGATCAGGCTGGATGGAGCTTTCAGCAACCTGGTCTTAGTGGAAGGTGTCTGTGCAACCTATTCCAGTGCTGCTGTTCCATTCTATTGATTTTTTAAATTTTTTTCCTGATGTCCAGCCTGCACCTCTCAAGCTGCAGTTTATGGCTGTTGGTATTTTATTGTATTGTCTGGCACTACAAAGTGATATTTAGCTCTGTCATTCTTTTAACTTTCTTAAGTAGTTAGTTACAGGTTGTTATTAAATCACTCTTTAGGCTCCTCTTTGCCAAACTGAATGAACCCAGTTTCCTTATCCTCCTTCTACAGATACGCTGTGTACTTCTAACCCCTTTGTGGGTCCTAGCTATCAATTCCTTGCATAAACTGAAGTATGCTTTCCCAAGACCTAACTGCTGATTCCCTTCTCAGTCTTCCTCCACATTTTGGATTCTTGTGGTTGCTACAGCCAATGCTGCTGTCTGTGGCCAAGTAAGAAACAAGTTCTTCCCTGTCTGTGAGCAGTATGTTCATAGGAATTGGTTATCTATTTGTGTGACAGACGTGAAAACAAAACCCTTTTTGCCTTATATTAAATGTGCTCTGTACAGAAGACCTGTAGTTTATTTAACTCTTCCTTTTTTGTTCTCCTCCTTCACTCTTCTTCCATGATCGTTTCTTTCCTATGCACGTAACAATTTGTATGAATAAAAGAAATCAGCTAATTTCTGTCCAAACTTGCCATCTAGTGGCATATTACAGGGTTGCAGGCCATCTATTAAAGATGTTTTTGCAGTGTATACTGTATAGTTAAAGTTTATACCTGTTTTTCCACAGGTTTGGTTTGGGTTGTTTGTTTTTTTTTATGGTAGTTTTTCTGTGTTGGTGTGTGTAGTTCATTGTTTCAATGTCTTTCACTTTAGCCATTACATGCTTCCAGAATATTGTATGAAAGGAAGTTGCAATGTCTATGTAGAAACTTCCATTATTAATGAGGAGATAACATATTAAACCAAATAATGAATATGTAATAGTTGAGCTAGCGAAAAAGTTGTTTATTTTTCTTCTTATGTCATGTTCTAGAGAGTAACAAGGTACCATAAATGTACCTGACAGGTGCATAATTTCAAGGAAATACTTAAATTTGTTTAAGATCAGAGTGAGTCATGTAGTGCCGGAAATGGATGAAGCAGTTTTGCAAACTTGAGTTCTTTTGGACTCTTCTAATAACTGCATGGAAAGCTTGCCCTGTACAAGTCACTGGGGGTATATTGAATAGTATATTCCTTCCCTCAGAAATTATCCAAGCAATGCTCATTGACGGCAAGTCGTTTTTGGATGATTTTCTTATGCTTCCCTATAACAAGAAATGTCATAATGAGCGAACTAATCATCGAGCAAGCTTGATGCCTTTTTTGCGGTTTCAAAAATGGAAGAATGGCAAACTCTCTTCCTCATGTTTCTTGGAGTTGGCAGTTCAGTAATGATTCCTTATGCCCAAACCAGAGGTTGCATTTGTACCATTGTGTTTAAAATAAAAAATGCTGGTAGACCTAGCTTGATCTGATTTTTCTAATTACTTTTAGAAACTACAAGCTCCTTTGCCTATGTGGAAGAAATAATAATTTGTTTTGCTCTACATTTTCTACTCCATTCAGAAAAAGTATAGGTATCTTCATTTTAAAACTCTTTAAAGTGCTAGTTTGGTTATTTTTTCTTTCTTATCTGTAAGCTTTGATTTACAGTAGAGTTGTACCCTGTTCTGTGTGATTTCCTTGGTTTCTCTTCGCCACCCCCTTTCCTCCTTCATCACTTCAGAACTTTTATCAATCAGACCTATTTTCTGCTACATGAAATAAAACTTCACCTTCATTATATGAATAAGTGGCTTCTCTTGCCTTTTCCTCTGCCTACAATCCCTGAACAATCTGTGTCTTTTTTTCATCATTGTTGCGATGCTGTTTATAATCCCATCAATCTATTATGCTAGTCAGTGTAAACTTGATTACTAAGACTTTCAGACCTTACTGTCTGCTCTCTGGGTCTTGGATGGTGCCTTTTGCAATGACTTTTGAGCTGCTTCTGAGGAGTGGGTTTGATATATTTTTTATTTTTTTTAATTTTTCTTTTTCTTCTCTTCCTTAGGATTCACATTTTGAAGTTTTACTTTCCAGTTTATATGGTTATCGTGTATCTTAAAATCACAGTCTTGGATTAACAGCAGGACCATAAAATATGAGAACTGCCATTATTATGGCTTCAAATTCAGATAAAAGCTCTAATGTCTGAATCGTAAATGATAATGTCCATCTGTTAAAAGGTCCAGATCTTACCATGTAGAATTGTACTAGTCAATCCTCAGCTACTGCTCGCTGCTGTTGGTGTTGAATGATCACTGTCGCAGTATGTGCTTTTTATTCCTCATCTATTTTCTTGTAAATGGAGCATAAGGTAGGGAGCCTGGAAAGTAACAGCACCTGAGGCAATTCTTTCATCACGAGACTTTTTGCATTAAGGCTTGCAAGAATGGTTTGCTTCGGATACTCACATAGGGACATTTTTAATTTTGGTTAACTGGGAAAAATCCGTATTATATTGATACAGTGCTACAACAACAATGAAGGGGCAGTGTTTGAACTAAGAGTGATATAGTATGAAAAGCATATTACTTTTAATAGTTAAATCTGCACAACTTGTTGGTTTTAAATATAATTTTAGAGAAGTACTGATACTGAAACACGCATCTTTTATTTTTCTTTTCGCTTGATCTGATGTAAAGCAGTTAAGCAAATCGTAGACTTTTACATTGTTGTAAAAAGAAAATTCTGTGCCAATGTGGTGGTACAGGGTGAATTCAAAGTGTTGAAACAAATGGTGACCACTGTAAGCCTGTTGTCTGGCACCCATATGTTCAGTGGCAGCTTCAAGCATAGAGATCTGATTTTTTCTGCAGCTTTGCCTTTAAACGCTCAAATATTTACTCTTTCATATTGCCATCTTAAAGGATAATTTTTCAGACAAAAATGCTAGGATTGTATTTTATTGCTGTAAGTTTCAGCATAACATCTTCCAGAGTTCAAAACAAGAATTTGCTCATTGAAGAGTGGGAGAGATTGTTCAGAATAGTGATTATTTCCATTAGGAAGTGTATTATGCCCACACATTTACTGATCTGAAGCCTCAAACTTGACTACTAACTCCTCAAACTGAGTCACTTTTATCAGCCTCTTCTAAATGGGTGGTGGCCAAATGATGAAATGCAGTCAGACTTCATTACTTTGGCTCAGCTAGTAACCATCTTTTAAACAGGACGTTCTTCCAGAATAATAAGCAGTTAATACAAACATATTGGCTGAACCTTGAAGTTGGGGGTTTTAACTCTTGTTTAATCGGGGCAGAAAGAATAATTAAAAAGTGCAACTGAATGTACTTTTTGAATTTCAAGCTTTCCTTTAAAGGACACTTTGAGATACAGAATACTGTGCTTGCAAGGGTTAATGCAGTGTGAAGTCGGCTTTACGTATTTGAATAACTCAGTATAGTACATCAAAAGTCAGTTGAACCAAATTTACGTTTCTTGAACTGCAGTTTTGACTTTGTGATGGCATCGGCTGTTTTTAAATTCCGAATCTATTACGTCAGCAAAGTGAGTATGAAGTTACTTCATACTGACTAAATCTTTCTTTGAGGATGGGAAATTTGAACTCTCAGCTAACACTGTAATGAATCTAGATTTCAGGGTATGTTTGGAGACAATTGT